TTAGAAAACGAGATGGGGATTTTGATCTCAGCTTATGACTATGAAAAAGAAAATAGAACTCAAATATAAAAGGATCAATAAAAATTCAATAACAAAATAATAAATAAAGGGGATGAAATCTCTGTAAAAACGGAAGGGTTTGGTGTGGAAGGGATTTCTAAAACAAACAAAGAAACAAATGTCAAGTAAAAATGGTAAGAAAATGGTAAGAAAATGTCAAGTAGGAAAATATCTAAACTGTGTGTTTGGGGGTAAGAAATAAAATAAGTTGTATAAATCGGGGAGGGCAGCAGCGAAAAGAGAGCGAAAGGATGCTAGATCTAATCTTCAAAACCCTAGTGTGGGCGAGTTTTTTTTTTTTTTACGATCCTTGAAATGATATGATCAAAAGCCTGGAACCAAAACTTCCAATATCTACAGGAACAGATTTCAGAGCTGCCAACGATAATATCCAGATAACCCAACAATCAAATGTATTAAACAAATTAAAAAATAAACTGAAAATTCGCATTACACGGAAACACAGTTTTCCGTATTCTAGATTCGTATCAGTTCCCCCAAATTGTTGTTTGGAGAAGAAGCTTTCTGAAATCCGGTAAAGATGATGGTCGAGGATCCTGGAGCTTATCCCAAATCTCTTTGGCACTGGAACAAGATGAGAATCTTCCATATTCATTTGGACCTAAAGCACAAAATATAAATATGTATAGCCTTAGAATTAAGCTGAAATTTTTTTTGCTCTTCTCTACTCCAATCGTTGTACTTGCCGGGTGGAAAGGAGTATCGTCCATGATTGAGTACCAAGCTCCTAGATTGTATGATTGAATGAAGTACATCATCTTATTCTTCCAATGTGCATAATTTGATCCATTGAAGAAGGGTGGCTTGTTGACCGGTTGTGAATCCATAATAGGATATTCTTCAAGATAATAAGCACCGGAGGAAAAAGTCATTTCTTTGTCGGTTGCGTCGGGAATTGGTAGAGCTTCTTCTAGGATCGTCTCAAGGTGGTTAAATCTTTTTAACGAGTTAGGCTCTGATACCAATTGTTAGGATTTTCGGAAGCTCGAATCGACAACCGGAACGGTTTGCAAATAGGGGTCGGAACGGTTTTGTGTTTAGGGAGTAAGGAGATTGAAAAATAGAGAATTACATAGTGATTTATAGTGGTTCGACTTTCTCAATTAAAGTCTACGTCCACTACCTTAGCTCCTCATCAAGGATTTTCCAACAAATTCACTAATTTGTTCTTTCTTTTGAGGATAAAGAGTAACCTTACAAACTCCCTAGTTTTTCCGGGCTAAACTAGAACCTTTCCCTAGCTTTTACACGGGCTAAGCTAGAACATTTCCCCTTTACAAAAGGATAAGAAATGTAAACAAGAAAACCTCTCTAAGGTAGGTGTTTACAAAATTGAGCTCACAAGAACAAAATATATACAAGAGAAAGATGAAATAAGAATGGAAAATTCTTCTCTTGTGTTTGATTGCTTGGATAGTTGTTCTATTACTTCTTCAAGTGTCCTTAGCTTGTATTTATAGCTTGGAATGTGTTTGAAGTCATATCTAGCCGTTGGGGATGTTTTGGAGCCGTTTGGGAATGATTTTTCTGCAAAAATAGACTGCTCAGAATGGGAGGAATCGGTACCCCTTCATAGGGAATCGATACCCCTTCGTAATATTCAAATATTATGACCGTTGGGCTGATGAACAGTGAGGGAATCAGTACCCTCAAGGGGGGAATCGGTTCCCTCCGAGTAATCTGTTATTTCTCGGAGCCAAACCATGCAGGGGGAATCTGTACCCGGGGAATCGATACTCCTGGGGGAAATCTGTTCCAGGGGAATCGATACCCCCTAGGGGAATCTGTACCCCCTGGACAATCTGATTTTTCTTGAAACCCTTTAAAAAGAAAATATTTTTGGCTCGATTAAGGCTCGAAATACTTACATCGAATATACTTAGAAAATCTTTTGTAAAATCTTAAAATTCATTTAACTTAAATTGTTATATCAAAACATCAAAATGTTTTCAACAAAAATATTTATGCGTAAACTACATGAATAGTCACTTAAATATGAATAAATTTATACTTCCAACACTAAAGTTTTAAATATAATGAAACAGACAATAATATCATTTTTTTTTCTAGAGAATCGATCACTCAACCGTTAACACTCGTAACTGTAATTAAAGATATTAGTGGATGGAACTGTTCTCCAATACGTTTTTGCATGCTGAACTGGATAAGAAATGTTTTTAATTTATGGGGTTTAGGGTTTAGCTTGGAAGATGGGGCTTCAATGGCCTATGTGAAACGATTGCGTTGTCTTAAATTAAAAGCTATAAAAACAGTCTCAGTCCCCACTTGATTTGAAACCCTTTTTCCTCTTTCTATCTGTGCTGGCTCCGTTTTTCCGTTGGTTAAACTTAAATCTTCAGCCGCCGAAAATTTCAAGGTTTGTAGCTGGTTGAAGGGTGTTAACGTGGTCAAGCATTCTAACTCAACTGACTGTTTCGTTATTTTTGAAACTTTAGTACTGAAAGAAGAAACTTACTCATGCTTTTTGACCATTTGTGTAACTTACCCTGAATGTATATATTATACTTCAATCATAATAGATTATTTTAAGTTCATAAAATAGCTTGGTTTGGAGGTGATGTTGATTTACTTGCTTGGTTTGAGAGAAATTGGGAGGAAAGAAAGATGGAGTGGAGATCATGGAGGAATTATTACGAGGATGTCGCTCCATTCACAGTATTGATGGCAATGGAGTTTGTGATTCCGGGACTAAACACGCTGTTCAAAGCAGCTACTTTGGCTGGCATGAGCTACCATGTGTTTATGGTCTATGATTATGCCCTTGCTGCTCTTCTTCTTCTTCCTGCTCCCTTCTCTTCCAGGTTCCTCGATTTCTCACTGTACTCCTTCGTTGCAACCAGAAAATGTTCTCATCATTTCTGAATTTGTTGCAGATCAAGTGTGCTTCCTCCGCTCAGTTCCCTATACTTCGCAAAATTGGACTTCTTGCCGTTATAGGGTAAAATTTTGTAAAGTTGTTCATTTCATAGAAAAATATTGCCTTTGATTTCAATTTTATGGGTTCTTTATCTCTAATTTTTGTGAATCCGGATTCAGGATTTCATGTCAGATAACAGGGTACACAGGCATCATTTACAGTTCACCCACTCTTCAATCTGCTATGGCCAACCTCATGCCAGCTTTTGCCTTCATCCTTGCTATCTTTTTCAGGTCAGTCTTTATCCCTAAAACGTAATATAAACCATCTCATAATCCTGATTTTTCTTTTAACTTTTCTTCTGTTGCTGCAAACTTAAAAGAATGGAGAAGCTGGTTTGGAGTAGCAACAGCAGTAAGGCTAAGGTGATGGGCACCATAATATCAATTACAGGTGCGTTTGTAATGACTCTCTATAAGGGTCCATCCATTTTCAAAGCTTCAAAACCCTCAATGTCCCTTCATCAACCTCTGAACTTGACCGGAACAAATTTGGTTGCTGGTGCAAACCCAAACGGGGTCGTTGGCGGTGCTTTCTTCACTGCTCAGTTTACCCTGAATACACTCTGGTACATTGTACTGGTAAGAGTTTGCTTACGAGTTACTCAGAAAATGGTTCATTCTTGGTGGAAATTTGAAGAGATGAACGGATTGTTTGATACTCATGCAGACACAAATCATGGAAGAGTATCCCGCAGAACTGACTGCAATTTTCTTCTACAATTCTTCTGTGTGCTTCATGGCTTTGGTTGTTGCTTTAATCGTCAAAAGAAACGCAAGAGCTTGGAGAATAGGATCAGATATTGCACTAGCCTCGGTTGTTTGCTGGTTAAGCAAGGGTATTTGAATGGCCGTTATTGATGAATTTTCGTTATGAGAATGTAGAAATAGTGACTGCATTCTCTGTTTTAGGGAATCTTCAGTTCTTGCTTGAACAATACAATCCATTCATGGACTCTGCGGTTGAAGGGACCAGTTTTCGTGGCAATGTTTAAGCCATTTTCTATCATCGCAGCCTCTGCCTTTGGTATCGTCTTCCTCGGTGATACACCCCATCTTGGGAGGTATAAACAACACTGTACTTTCATCATTTTCGATTACATGCACTAATCAATTTGATTGCATAATGACTGCATAATCAATTACGCCAAGTATCGATGGTGAATACCAGCAACAAAGAATCTAGACTATAAACTGACGATCATACATAATGTAGTGACTATTATTTAGATTGTTGGTAATTCTGGTATCTATTTGTTTTTGGGTTAATCAATTGTTATCTTTTATACTTGGGCAGTTTCATTGGAGCAACAACAATATCGATCGGTTTTTACACAGTGATGTGGGGAAAAGCGAAAGAAGCAACACCTTAGAGCAGTGGCAGTGGCAGCAGCAATAGCACCACAATAGATTCACCATCTTCCCACAAGGACAAGGTCCCCTTGCTTCAGAGCTATAAAACACAACAAGTGTAGAAACAAATGCATGGATACGAATGTGCAAAATCAATTTTCCATATGGAAATGTCAACAATCAGACCATTGGAAATGGAAATATATTTCTCAGTTCTGAGGGTCTAGAAAATCTTCTTCAGGCTTCGGCCTCCACCTGTTTCAGCTAATGTCAAATACATCTACCTGCAAAAGGACTTCTTATAGGATATGCAAATATTGAAGCTCAAGTTGAACAGAAAACAGATTGTACAACACCAACATGGACCGACCAATCAGACCATGGGCCTGCCCTCATCGTAAAATTTCATTTCAAACGAAGCAATTTGTTTGATCAGATCAAATGTCATGTGTTGACGATTGCACTTCACGAAAAATAAAATTGGGTATCAATTAACAAAATATAACCTGGTATGGTTCAAATATCATATATAATTACCTCTACTCGATTACTCATGATTCAATTCAAAAAAAAAGATGAAAAAGAAGGTACAAAATGCTTTCCTGAGCAATTCTAGTTAAAATGGTCATCTCTCTACTTCCTTCCAATATAAAAGTAGAACCAAGACCAGCAATCTATCTTCCAGATAACTAACCATGACTACATCCACAAAGAACACGCAAAACTCAATCATGTTTGGCAAATGCAACTCAAATCATGTTGTACCTTAATGACGAAACATTCAAAAATAGAACCACATGAACTATCATCTCGTGTTTCCCTTCAAACTTTGTTCAAGCCTTGAGATCATCAGACATCGGCGAAGATATACAATGTGTGGTTAGAATATCTAAAGTTGCAGCCTTTGCAGCCTTGGTATTTAGCACTACCATCTGCATGGCAAAGTTGAGAATCAGCTAAACCAAAAATACTCATATTGTCAAGCATGCACATGTGTAAGAAAGAAGAGAGAGAGACCTGCTGATATTCCAGGTCAAATCTCAAATATTCATCATTGCAGTTATCAACCATATTGGCCAGGCTCTTTAGATTCTTCACAGGTTTTCCGTTGAAAGCAAGAACCTTAGTAATTGAAATTAAAAGAAAATTGTTAACATGTGTTCTTTAATATATATATACACTTCACATCACCAGCAATATCATGAAACACTCCCTGACCTGAGTATTGACAATATCCTCATATCCAATATTTATGTCAGCCACAAGTACCTGAGAATAAGGAAGAAAATTGTAAGCAATATGGTCTATAACGCATGAATAAGAAAGGCCAAATCATTGTGTTACATCAGACTAACATATTAATAAACAACATCTAGGAATGAAAAAACATGAGAAACAACATAGACCTGTGAAACAACAACAAGCTGTTCATCTGCAGACTCAGCCATTGCATGTAGATGCTTATCCAATAGCTTTACTGGTGCATCAAATTCATAGTCCTTCCCATACTGTAGATGAGAGAAACAGGGAAGTTAGAAGGAAGCAAACCTGACCAGTGACCACTGAAACAGCAAATCATAAAAATAAAGCAGCGTACACTAATGAAGATAAAGCTCATTGTATTTGCAACAGTAATAAAAAATGGATGGTGCAGATTTTAGACCCCAAAGAAGGATTCCATATCAATGCGACTATATACAATTGTTCTATATACAATTGTTCTATATTTGCAATTAATAGAACATAAGACTAGAACAAAAGTTTAACAAATATTAAGATTCTTCCCAAATTCTGAGAAATAACGGGATTCTATAGCTATCTAACAATATACAAAGTGTCATATTGTTAAAAAAAAAATAAGATATCGATATATATATATACACACAAGTCCAAGACTAGAACAAAAGTTTAGCAAGAGTTAATATTCTTTCCAAATTCTGAACAATGATTAGGACAATTGTACATTAAACAGTTCTTGAATGATTCACAAGGAATAGAGTATTATTCCACAATTGATATTTTAACAAGTTCGAGAAAGAAACACACAGAAGGAAGAGAGAGAGACTGATAACCTCAGAACGCAAGTATGGAACAGTTACAGCAGTAAAAACAAATCCAGCAATAATGTAATAAGGAGGTTTCCCACTGTTGTGTGCTGGGATGAGCCTCTTGTGAGTCGCAAGTTTTATGTCCCATTCAAGTATCTTCGAATCACGGAGAACTTCAACTAGTGCAGTATCCCCAGTATACTTCTGAGAAACAAGATAACTGAAACCAATGCGCTCCCCATGCCTGAATGGAACTGTTATTTCCATGTCAAGGAAAATTGAAAAACAAGAAAGAACAAGTCAGGAGACTGTTTTCCCACATAATATAGGACGATAATGCCTGAACACTTGACTGAACTAAACATTAACAGATGATCTGAGTCAAACATGTGAGTAATCTATTGGACATCTGATTTTGTAGTAAAAGATGACTTGACCAAGTATCATACAACAGCCATCAATCAACCACAGCCCATAGAGGATAAAATAGTAACTAAATCCCCAACTGAAAAAGCTTTCATCTTTAGTGCATACTGCAAAACTTATGATAAAACAGGGCAATGAATTGAATACCTAAAGTGATTACATGGATAAATTCATGACTTCTTTGGGTTCTATTCTGGTTTTATTTTTTAATCTCTTTTGGGGCAAAATCATATGATCCGTGATAGCTAAGAAAATCTCTTGCCTTGAAGGTTTAAAACCCTAAAGGCATAGTCCAACAGCAAATCTATATTGAAACTACCTCCACTACAAAGAAACATTGCTGTTATAACCTAGTTCTCATAAACGAACCACTGATTAAACTAAATAATATCTCCATAGAACATTTTCATGTATATAAACTAGCCACACAGCAAAATTATAATTCTCGGCTCAGAGCGACATCCTACATAAACATCCGCATCTAATCTTTTAGCTACAATTAAAGCAAAAACCAGCACTTTAAGTTGTTAATTCTAGGGGGGGTCTAACTCCAAGAATAGTCTAGTTCTGATGCAGTATTACTAGGGGGAAAAAACGAAACATGCATACATAGATCATACATACAACATACATCGGTGAATGTATGAAATCCAACTAACATAGGAGACGGGGGGTAGCTTACCAGTTCCATCATTAGCAACTTTTACCCCATCAAAACTAAGTACAACATCGGATGGCTTCAGAGGATGAGATTCTGGAGCTGTGGGCTCAACTCTCCTAATACGGACACCCTTCTGCTCCGGTTTCATCCCCATTGCCGATCGCAAATCAGGATTTTCCATCTTTTGCCACTCAACACCAAGGATTGGGAAGCCTAAAATAGAAATGATTGGACGGAAACAAGAATTAAAGCACAATACCAGACATAAGAGAAGTCAAACCACCTTCTAATTCCAAAATAGTACTGTGAAGTGTGAACAATACCTGTATACGTCCCATTCTTTTCATAATCCTGAATGAAGTGCATTATAACCGGTGTCGGTATGACATACCCAATATTTTCAGCATCCTCATGTTTTAAAGACTGGAAGGCAATACCAACACAATTACCCTTATCATTGAAGGCAGGTCCACCAGAATTTCCAGAGTTAATAGCTGCATCAATCTGCAAATCCATATTTAATTACAATAGGTCAATAAACATGTCAAACAAACATGTTAAATCGCTAGGAGTGAGACCTAATCTCATAACCTGTAATCCCAAAAGTTCAGTTGACCCATGAACATAAGAGAGTATCTCGATACGTGATACAACACCACTAGTAACAGAGATTGTGTCACCTCCAATGGGGTAGCCCACAACAGTTACAGCATCTTGGAGGGCAGGCAAATCTCCAAACACAACAGGTGAAACACCTTCCCAGAACTCATCATCACTAACTGTTAACATAGCTGCAGCATCCAAAAACAAGAAATTTAAGAATCAATCAACTCAAACATTTCTTTTCTTTAGTAAATCACAATCTTCATACAATTACGTTACTCAAGTTTCTCTTTAAAATACAAGCAGCCTGCTGTTAATATCAAACTTAGTAACCCATAAATTAAGAAAATTGGGATGAGCTATTTCCATAAATACATATTTCCAAACTAATGAGTATTAGAGCTACTGAAATTCACTATAAACAAAGATTTATCCTCCGCCATTTCCATACAACCTCACATTAATTTCGCTAAATCCAAAAGGGCAGGAGAAAAGAAAAGAACATGACAGCCCATAACTGGTTTCAAAACACTCAAAACGATTTTCCATTAAAGAAAATGCAAACTTTAACACCCTTATCCTCTCATTCAATACAAATAACCAAAGACCATTTTCTACTCATTCCATGAAAGCCAAGCCACTATACTGCCTTTAAAACCAAAATCAACCCCCCCAAAAGATGAAAATCCCCACAAGTTCAAAATTTAGCCTTACCAATATCACATTCAGTCCCAATAGCCAAAACAGTTGCCAGGTACTTAGTATCGGATCCTCTTTTCTTCAACTTCACCTGAGTATAATGTTCCACTGAATGAGCATTTGTTAACACTCTTCTCCCTCCAATCATAAATCCACTACTACTTGAAGAAAACTGCCTTTTCCTTTGCCATGGCAGCGAATAGTTTGGTTCGGTGTGAACGCAGAAGACTTTCACCACTGCATCCATAGCTGGCACTACCCTCGCCGCCACACTCTCCCATTTCGCCACCGGCTGCGATGCCGGCTCCAATGTCATTCCCCCATTTTGATAAGGCCTCCACTCTGGGGAAGCTACCGCATGCGGCTCCGTATCCTCCTGCTGCACCGCCTCAGACTTCTTCGGTCGCCCTCGGCCCCGTCTTGCCGGTGGTGGGTTGTTCACATCACCGTTAGCGTAGGCGTCCTGTACTGCGTCGTTTGGGGCGGCGTTGGTGGTGCTCGAGTATTGGAAGTCCATGGTGTCTGTTTTTGATGCAGGGCCTCTAGGTTTCCGGCCTCGTTTCCTAGTTTCCCCCATCGGAGTATGTTCTCGAAGGGATATGGGGTTCCAAGCTAGGGTTTTTGATATGAAGATTGCTAATTTCGGGGATGGTATTCGAATGCTTTACGCCTCTCTTGAATAAGAGGCAATGAAAAGAACACGAGAATCCAAATGGCGAGAGTCGAAGGACCGAGAGAGAAGATAAATTTGGGCCCCTATTGGGCTTTCATGAGATGAAATATGGGCTTTTAAAAATTATGAATATTTTTATAATTTGAAGTAATTATAAAATAGTATTATATGTAATTAATATTAGGGTAAAGTATAGTAATGGTCACTGAATATTTCTGAAGCTTGTATTTAGGTCCTCCAACTTTTAAAACTTACAATACAGTCTCCCAACATTTATTATGTTTGCAATATGGTTCCCCAACTTAAATCACCGTTAGAAATTAGGGTAAATTATATAAAAGGTTATTGAACTTTTCAGACACTTGAATTTAGGTCCCCCAACTTTTAAAACTTGCAAAACAATCCTCAATTTCATTCTAAACCCCAATTTCCAAAGTAATTCAATTTCATTCTAAACCCTAAATTCCAAAATAATTCAATTAAATTCAATTATGTCAGATTTATTATTATTTAATTTCATCTTATTTCATGTGATACGTATTTTTTATATAAATATAATAGTATAATTCTTATCTGTTGAAGAAATTTTTTAATTAAAAAAAGTAGTTAGGATATAGAAGAGGTTGAAAATAATTCGAATTTTAAATTTATAAAATGTTATTTTGACGTATAAATAAAAGTGTAAACGACTAGGTTGACAACTTAACTATCTAGCCCTTTTTACTTTTGTCATCGATCTTTTAAATTTATCAATCATACAACATAATTATTTAACTGTTTCAACTAAGCCACTAGTCGTTACCAATTGATACAAATGATGAAGTGGCAGTTAAAAGGAATTGACATTATTATACATTCAGTCTTTATTATTTATATAATCAATTTGGTCCTAAATTAAATAGAATTTAATAAATTAATCATTTAATTAGGATCTGACATGTGTTAGCACATGATCATGACACGTGTCATTGGTGACACATGTCACCACCTAATTATTTATATATGCTATCAATTTGGTCCTAAATTAAATAAAATTTAATAAATTAATCATTTAACCAGGATCTGACATGTGTTAACACATGATCATGATATATGTTATTGGTGACACATGTCACCACCTAATTAGAAGAAAATTAAGTTACAAATAAGTAAAATTTGGGTCTTGGGCAAACTCAAACCTGAGTCACGCAAATGAAAGATACAGGGTGAAGCCACTAAGCTAACACCATCGTTTGTGTTAATAGATATACAATAATACATATACTAATAGTATGACCAATGCCAGAAAAAAAAAGAATATAATGGAAAATGGAAATAATGAGATTTAAACTTCGGCAAAAAATTTGAAAGCAATAAATGATGGGAAAATATTATATTTTTTTACAATAAAAATAGGGTAAAGTATAGTAATGGTCACTGAACATTTCTGAAGCTTGCATTTAGGTCACCCAACTTTTAAAACTTGCAATACAGTCCCCCAACATTTATTTCGTTTGCAATATGGTCCCCCAACTTAAACCACCGTTAGAAATTAGGGTAAATTATATAAAAGGTTATTGAACTTTTCAAACACTTGAATTTAGGTCCCCCAACTTTTAAAACTTGCAAAACAGTCCTCAATTTCATTCTAAACCCCAATTTCCAAAGTAATTTAATTTCATTCTAAACCTTAAATTCCAAAATAATTCAATTAAATTCAATTATGTCAGATTTATTATTATTTAATTTCATATTATTTCATGTGATACGTATTTTTTATATAAATATAATAGTATAATTCTTATCTGTTGAAGAAATTTTTTAATTAAAAAAAGTAGTTAGGATATAGAAGAGGTTGAAAATAATTCGAATTTTAAATTTATAAAATTTTATTTTGACGTAAATAAAAGTGTAAACTACTAGGTTGACAACTTAACTATCTAGCCCTTTTTACTTTTGTCATAGATCTTTTAAATTTATCAATCATACAACATAATTATTTAACTGTTTCAACTAAGCCACTAGTCGTTACCAATTGATACAAATGATGAAGTGGCAGTTAAAAGGAATTGACATTATTATACATTCAATCTTTATTATTTATATAATCAATTTGGTCCTAAATTCAATAGAATTTAATAAATTAATCATTTAATTAGGATCTGACATGTGTTAGCACATGATCATGACACGTGTCATTGGTGACACATGTCACCACCTAATTATTTATATATGCTATCAATTTGGTCCTAAATTAAATAAAATTTAATAAATTAATCATTTAACCAGGATCTAACATGTGTTAACACATGATCATGATATATGTTATTGGTGACACATGTCACCACCTAATTAGAAGAAAATTAAGTTACAAAGAAGTAAAATTTGGGTCTTGGGCAAACTCAAACCTGAGTCACGCAAATGAAAGATACAGGGTGGAGCCACTAAGCTAACACCATCGTTTGTGTTAAGAGATATACAATAATACATATACTGATAGTATGACCAATGCCAGAAAAAAAAGAATATAATGGAAAATGGAAATAATGAGATTTGAACTTCGGCAAAAAATTTGAAAGCAATAAATGATGGGAAAATATTATATTTTTTTACAATAAAAAAAATTATATTTGATAAATTGTTTGATAGATTTAATATATTTTTAAATATTAGTTGATACAATATTTAAAAGAATAAATTTAAGATTTATATATTTTTAAACTAAATTTAATAATTATATTTTTCATATTTATAATTCATGATTATATATATAATCTTAAGTTGAGTATTTCTAATATAATTAATAATTTTAATTTCTTATTAAAAATAAATATTCAAAAAATATAAATGATTCATACATTAATATGAATATATTTTTTTTTATACATCTAAATATAATATACATTTATATAATATATTTTTATTCGTATATTGAAATATTTTGATTAAATTATAAACATATTTTAAATACTAGTTTATACAAGAAAAATAAAATATATCAAAAATATAAATGATTCATACATTTAAATATAAATTGAATCAATTATATTTTCTATACATCTATATTTAATAAGAAAATAAAATTATTGGGGGACTGTTTTGCAAGTTTTAAAAGTTGGGGACCTAAATTCAAGTGCCTGAAAAGTTCAATGACCGTTTATATAATTTACCCTAATTTTCTAACAGTGATTTAAGTTGGGGGATCATATTGCAAACAGAATAAATGTTGGGGGACTGTATTGCAAGTTTTAAAAGTTAGGGGACCTAAATGCAAGCTTCAGAAATGTTCAGTGACCATTACTATACTTTACCCTAAAAAATATTATATTTGATAAATTGTTTGATAGATTTAATATATTTTTTAAATATTAGTTGATACAATATTTTAAAAGAATAAATTTAAGATTTATATATTTTTAAACTAAATTTAATAATTATATTTTTCATATTTATAATTCATGATTATATATATAATCTTAAGTTGAGTATTTCTAATATAATTAATAATTTTAATTTCTTATTAAAAATAAAATATTCAAAAAATATAAATGATTCATACATTAATATATGAATATATTTTTTTATTTATACATCTAAATATAACTATACATTTATATAAATATATTTTTATTCGTATATTGAAATATTTTGATTAAAATATAAACATATTTTAAATACTAGTTTATACAAGAAAAATAAAATATATCCAAAATATAAATGATTCATGCATTTAAATATAAATTGAATCATTTATATTTTCTATACATCTATATTTAATAAGAAAATAAAATTATTGGGGGACTGTTTTGCAAGTTTTAAAAGTTGGGGACCTAAATTCAAGTGCCTGAAAAGTTCAATGACCATTTATATAATTTACCCTAATTTTCTAACAGTGATTTAAGTTGGGGGATCATATTGCAAACGGAATAAATGTTGGGGGACTGTATTGCAAGTTTTAAAAGTTGGGGGACCTAAATGCAAGCTTTAGAAATGTTCAGTGACAATTACTATACTTTACCCTAAAAAAATTATATTTGATAAATTGTTTGATAGATTTAATATATTTTTTAAATATTAGTTGATACAATATTTTAAAAGAATAAATTAAAGATTTATATATTTTTAAACTAAATTTAATAATTATATTTTTCATATTTATAATTCATGATTATATATATAATCTTAAGTTGAGTATTTCTAATATAATTAATAATTTTAATTTCTTATTAAAAATAAAATATTCAAAAAATATAAATGATTCATACATTAATATATGAATATATTTTTTTATTTATACATCTAAATATAAATATACATTTATATAAATATATTTTTATTCGTATATTGAAATATTCTGATTAAAATATAAACATATTTTAAATACTAATTTATACAAGAAAAATAAAATATATCAAAAATATAAATGATTCATACATTTAAATATAAATTGAATCATTTATATTTTCTATACATCTATATTTAATAAGAAAATAAAATTATTGGGGGACTGTTTTGCAAGTTTTAAAAGTTGGGGACCTAAATTCAAGTGCCTGAAAAGTTCAATGACCGTTTATATAATTTACCCTAATTTTCTAACACTGATTTAAGTTGGGGGACCATATTGCAAACGGAATAAATGTTGGGGGACTGTATTGCAAGTTTTAAAAGTTGAGGGACCTAAATGCAAACTTCAGAAATGTTCAGTGACCATTACTATACTTTACCCTTAATATTATGATAACACACGTGAATGAATTTAGGTAGGGCGGATAGAGATAGTTGTTCATTTAAAAATTTTAAATTTTTAAATTATTATATATTTTAGATTTTTTTTATTTTTTATTCCCCATAATTTTATATATTTGTCACATTCTAAAATTTTAGAATTTTTATCTCTTAATATAAACTTATACATCTATCCTTTTACACACTTTATAAATATGACTACTCGAATTTAAATATTTTATAAAAAATAATAATATTTTTTACAATTAAAATAATTAAAAATAATAATCAATTAATCTATTAGGATGAGTCACTAAATTTA